TTCTCATAGTAGAATCTTGAGTTACTTTTTAATAGTGAAGGATCAAATAGACTGAGAATTTCGGATCATGTTACAGGTCTGCATTAAAACAATACAAACCCCTAACAAGGTGAAGTCTCTCAGGGAAGTGGGTAACGCGGCCAGGCAAGGGGCTGGAGCGAGGGAAGGCTGGCACTGACGGGCCTGGATGCCAGTGGACTCCCTGCTAGTAAGGAGAGTGACAAGGAGGTGTGGATGGATGGGGGTGACATGGACCCCTCTGAGAATGGCTGTACCCCCTTCCACCAGGCAAGCCTAACAAATTTGGAGGAAGGGCTATGGAAGCAGCAACAGGTGGCACAGAAATCAATGAGTAGGGCTTTAAGATTCACTAGGGATTCCAGTCTACTGCTTCTAGAACTCTTTCCTTCATGGTACAGGAGTCCGTAAAAACTTCTGTTAGAAACAGAAACTAAACATCCAACCCATCCTCAGTCCTTGAGGTCGGCCCTGCGGATGACAAGGTGGCAGACACAGGCCTTTAGCAGGGACTGACTGAGGTTAAAGATCAGCCCCTGTGCACAAAGACTTAGCGTGGCACTCTTTCCCGCCGCGTCTCCTTGCACGGTAACGGGAGGCCACGCCTTCTCCACGAGGCCTCTATTGTCTTTGGGAAGGCTGTGATAAGACCACTTCCTCACACAAATTTACTTCGGACCTCCCCCACCCAAACATTTAAATCTCACTCACCTGACTACTACAAAGACCCAAGTAACAGTATCCCAGAACACTTTAGAGAACCTGACCTAGAAATTGCCGTGTGGCCACCAAGGTTTCAGCTCTGAAAGGAAGGAAAGGAATGCTGAATCACTCTGCTCCTGAGACAAACTGTAACGAACCCTCATTTCCAGGTCAGATTTATTTGTTCTGTCTTGGTATCTGTCCCTGAGTTTCCAACAGTCAATTGTAGAGACCAGTGGGTGGCCAAAGATCTTAACTCGCACTAGTGACTCTGTCCTCCTCTAACAGCTTCTCACAAAAACATTTACACATCCAATCTTGAGTTCTCAAACACAGAAGCTAATTATAGGAAAAATCTCATACACTCCAAATTAGCCTTTAAGGCACTTCACTCAGTCAACTAACAAACATTAAGGGAAGGCATACTGTGTGCCATTTATGGAAGACACACTTGAGGAATCTCATGTCATTTAGGGAGAGAGGGGAGATAAACCTTGTAAATAGATAAATCACCATGAAATATGATGAATGCTATTTCAAAAGGTATGTGCAATGTTATTGGCAGCTGATGGAAGAGACAGACTGCTTGGGGCAGGGTAGGGGTTCAAGGAAGACTTCACAGAGCTGAGTGACTTGAGCCGGCTTGGAAGGATGAATAAAAGTTACCATGTGGGAGGGAGCTGGACCAGATGGGCATCTCGGGCAGAGGGAATTTCAGTGCAAGGGGCACAGCGGTCGGTGAAGGCTGACGCATGGGGTGGAGTGGAAGAGAGGAATCAGAAAGGGCTGAGACCAGAGTCTGAGTATTGGTCCTAACTCCCACCTGGTACTATGTGCCCAGACACCCTTACTGAGGTTTACGAGTTAAATGTAAAAAGAACCTAGACCTATGCCCGGCACACAATAAACACTATAGATATTTTGCTATGACTATTATTATGGCATTTTGGTGCCACCAAATGCACCACCACCTTATCTCCACGGTTGAAAGTAATTAATAAATATTTGTTAAGTGAATGAAGAACTTGAGGTTTCTAGAAAGGAGATGGAGATGGATATGATTCTCATAATGCTATACTCAGCAGAAAGCGACGGGAAGGTGTTTCCTCCAGAAGTGCTTCAGTCACCTGAAGGTCATTCCACTCTTCCCAGTAGTCCCCCACTCAAATCTACGCTGGTTAGGGTAGGTCACTGGGTTAAAAGTAATAACCACAAAACCTTGTATTTGCACAGCATTTTCAGCTTACATGTATTGTCTTATTTAAAATAACGGTAATCTGCAAATCCAAAACTTTTCATCTCTTATCTGAATCCTATTTCCAGGTATAACCTGAAATTCTTATCTCTGGATTTGGGCTCCACAGAGGGACACACAGGAATAAATCTGAGCAACTTTCCGAGGCACTGTCGATCCCCATCCCAAAGTGACTCCATCAACTCCTACACTAATCTCAGGAAGGAATGGAAAGGAATGAAGGTATGAAGCCTTTGTAACTGTGGTACCTTAACTTCCTAAACTGTAAAATTAATTGCAAAGTCTCTGTCTAGCCTCAATTTGATTTAATTCAGTTCAATTCCACATCTACTGAGAAGGGACCTATGCGTTGCAGGTGTCCTAAAGCATACTTATTCCATATCACTGAGCTGGGACTTAGGAGACCAGGGTTTTTGGGTTTTTTCTCCCCAAAGCCCCAGTACATAGTTGTATACCCTAGTTGTATGTACTTCTAGCTCTACTATGTGGGACGCCACCACAGCATGGCTTGATGAGCGGTGTGTAGGTCGATGCCCAGGATCCAAACTGGCAAACCCTGGGCCTCCAAAGTGGAGTGCGCAAACTTAACCACTACACCACTGGCTGGCCCAGAGATTAGGTTTTTACCTGTGGGTTTGCTGCTAACTACCTGAATGGCATTGAGTAAGTCACTTTACCTCTTTAAGCATCAGGTTCATTTGTAAAATGAAGGGGTTAGAATGGATGACCTCAAGGTCCTTTCCAGTTCTCACATTCAATAATTCTCAAATGGGAAATAGCATCGATATCATTGTAATTATCTATTTCTGTATTTCAAAGCCAAGAAATTCTAGAGTTTTTTTCAGAGAAATACTTTGGCTCAGCAAATTGCCAAGGGTTTTCTACAGTTTGACTATAGAAGAAACTGGGGAATCGAGTGCACATCTTTATTCATCCAAAAATATTTACTGAGTGCCTACTATGTGCAAGGCACTATTCTAGGTACTATTCAGCGCCAAAAAAAGCAAATGAGCTCCCTTTTCTCACAGAACTCACTTCATTGTGCTTTAATTAATCCACTCCCACAACAGATAAATCTTTTGCCTGCTTTGGACTGCAGAAATAGTGACCTAATAGGTCTGTTTGATGTGTTGTGGTTTGTGTGTGGCTATCTCTGAATTAGCAAATAATTAAAATGGCATCAAAAAAATACCCGTCTGCAGTTTCTCCATTGACAGACAAAAATAACTATGTAGATTTTCTTGTAGTTTAAAAAAAAGTAACTCCTGGTTTGTGAATAGATTGAGATACATTCACACACGAATTCCAGTAAAATGTTAAGACACTAAACAAAGGGGTTTAAATGTTTCCTGCAGCACCAGGATTTGATTTTCTTTTTTTCTAGGACTGATTCTTTAAAATGGGGTTTTAGATACATAAGAGAGAGCACTTCCCTACTCTTTCACAGAATGCGTGATGGATCTACAGCAGGGACACGATGTGGAATGTTGGTTACTGTATCTCAAAACAGGCATCTTTACAAGCTGTAAAATAAATGAATAAAATGAAGAGGAAACCGACTCTGGGGGTGGAAGATGGACGCACTAGATCTAGACCAGCAAAATAGAACAGATTATCCCATTTAAGTACGGCACTGACGCACAGAATTTTAGAGCTGGACGAGGTCCTTAGTTTTATCTACTGGAAACCTGAGATTCAAAGATGTAGAGTGACGTGCCCAGGGCAAAGCCAAGATACTTGTTAGTAGCGCAGCTAGAATGAGCATCCAGGTCTGCAGATTCCCTGTTCAGGAATCTAGCTCTACGGTAACTTACAGTGAGAGTTTTAGCAAGTCAAGGAGAGAGACAGGGTACCCTTCACGGCTGACAGACACTGTTTTAGACTAAATGTAAGACACTAATATTTGTAGTATATTTCACCAACAGGCTATACAATCTGCTATTACTTATGAAGGGTGTAGATAAATTTACGGATGAAACATCGATAGCAGATTCCACTTAGAAACAGGAGATAATTCAAAATCTCATGAGTGAGTAGCCTGTTCAGAATTTGGAATCCCTTTCCCCCTGCCAAAGGAAACTAACAAATTATGAGCTTATTTAACCAGGCATGGGTGAAATAATACGAAAGGGTATCCCAAGAAGCACCCTCATCTGGGCTCAACGACCCCCAAGTCCTAGATCCCCCTGAAGTGGCTGGATACCTCCAGTGGAGCCTGGACTCAAACAGCAAGCCAGGGGAGGCTCCTAAACTGCAGATCCCTAAATCAGAGACTACTAGTATAAAGGATAATTGAGAACATCTAGCAACATATTTAACCTTTGACGTCAGGATCACAGACGATAACCATGTCTTACCCAAGAAAGTCTCTTGGACACAGCAGTGGTGAAAGCAGTGAGGCCAGAATGGTCTGCACCTGAAATCGTGGCTTTTCTGGAATCAGAATTCAACACTTTCAGGGAGGTGGAAGAGGGTCAGAAAACCCAGCAAAGGTCGCTACTCTCCCACTTTACACTCAAGAGGTGACTCCAAGTTTTCTTAGGTTTCTCCCCATAAGCAGGTTCCTAGTTTGGGAAATAATATTCTATGTACTGCGTTACTGATGCTCACATACTCCTGGAAAAACTTTTAAAAACATTCATCTAAATGGCAATTTTGAAAATTTAGTGTGGGTTTCCGCAGTGTAAACGGACAGGGTATCGATGCAAGCAGAATTTGCAAATTTGGGCTTAGCAAATTGATTTTTCTCGGACCTCCAGGCGGCTTCAGATGAATTGGAGTTCCTCCCAAAACAAAGTCCCCTAAGTAAATTAAACCCCGTCCTCAAATCTTGGCCCCAGGGCAGATCAAAGGAGGCTCTCAAGGTTAGAGGCGTTCTCCAACCTAAGCAGGTCTCGCGGGGAGAGTGGCTGCTTTGGGGGCCGAAGAGGACTTGGCTGGGGAGGCCCAGGTGCGCGCGCCCACCCGGCCGGCTCTTGGGGACCCCGGAGCGCCTCCCCGCCCTCCCGGGGCCCGCCTCGCTCACCGAGGTGGCCGCCGACGACGGTGACGGCGATCTGGTCCATGAGCACCGCCCGGAAGCGCACGTCCTGCTCGGAGCAGCGCTGCCGGAGGGCGCGCAGGATCTGCACCTGCGGGTAGTCCTCGCGGATGCGCCGGTCCGTCAGGAACCAGAGCTGGGAGCACATGGCGGCCAGGCTGGCGGCGCCCGGCGCGGCGGGGCCCCTCGGCGCCCCGGGCCGCTCGCTCGGGCTGGCGGGCGGGCGGGCGGCCGGCGTCCCGGGCGAGCGCGCGCCGCGGCTCCGCTCCCGCCGGTGCGCCAGGCGCCTCTGCAGCCCTGACCCAGCGAATCTGCCCGGCCACTCAGCGCCGCCGCCGCCCCCGGCCAGCCAATCAGCGCGCGGCGGCGGCGCGGGCCGGCCGCGCGGCCAGCTGCAGAGGCGGCGGCGCCCGGGAGGGGCGGCGGGCCCGGGCCTGCGGCGGCCGGGGGAGGGGAGCCGGGCGGGGCTCGGAGCCCCGGGGAGCCCGGGAGCCGCCAGCGGGCGATGGTGAGGCTGAGGGAGGGCATCCCTGCCCTGCCCTGGACCCCGCGGGGAGGAGGGGTGGCGCGACCGGAGCGGGAGGGGCCGGGGCGGCGGCCCAGTGGCGCGGAGAGGGTATCCCGGCTGGCGGACTCGTGATGCGCAGCGCGCACGGGATGCGTCTCAAAGGCCATGTCGAGCGCTTGGGGGGCTGGAGGGAACTGGCGGCCCCCTACAGAGCTCGGGGCAGCACCTCAGGGACGTCCCGAGGGGGACTCTGGGCCTGGCGAAGGTCACCCGGCCAGGCCCCAGTTGGACCCTGGCCTTGGAATTCTCTGCCCCAGTCCTGGAGCTGGGCGTGGGGGTGAGGGGCAGTTGGGTTTTAGCCTCCTCCCAATCATATCGTTTGAAGGTGCGTTTCTCAGGGTCTCAGATTTTCTTACACTGCACGCACCCCCGTAGTATGAAGCGCTTCTGGGCCTACAGAGCCTCAGTGTGATGAAAACGGATCTAAGACTCTTTTTAATTAGAAGGACCACTGGCTGATCTTCCCCCTCCCCCCAGGCCATACAACTGAGTCATCTTTAAACACCGTCCTTGGTCTTAGCCAATTGCAAATTCCGCCTGCAAACAACAATGTTCAAAGCCAGATTTTCCTTTTTAAATAACTGCAAGACTGAAGTTAGCCATCTTTAGAGACTGCATTTGCTCTTCCAGCTCATTAACATAAAACTCCTTGGTTTGGCCTAGGGAAGCAAGAGTAATTTCAAGGCAGGCCCAGCAATGACAACTTAGAAATGGGACAAGATGTCTCAGGTAAGGTACAGGCTTCCTTGTAAATATGCAAGTGCATCCATTTACTCACTAGATCTGCCTTTGGAAAAGTTCTGTCTCAACAGAATTTCAAAAATTCTTTTTCAAGCAATGTTAAGTAAATCCTTTTGTGTGGCAAAATATGGCTCCCCCCATGTATTTTCTTAAAGTGACAGTAAGCTAGTGCCCTATGGATTAGTAACTTTCAAAACTGTCTGCTAACCACAGATCAACTTAGTAGACACTGGAGACTCTGTCTTCCACGTTGCCCATTTCCTTGCTGTCCTGTGTATATATTTTGTTGACCCTGATGCTTGCTACTGGGCTTCTGCAGTATCACACAGGATGTCTATAAGGTGATCAGAACCATAGTTTCCTGGAATGATAGTTTGTATAGAAGAGTCAGTAAATTTAGATGTTCCTTATAACCCATTTTCATAGTCCTCTACACAAAACTAGAATGTTTAGTCAAATGCACATGGCTACCAAGATCCCTAAAACCCAGGCTTGAGGAGAACAGGGTCTGAGGATCCAGCTGTTGTAATCACTTCCTCTCTGTCTTTGCTTTCCCTCCTGGGAAGTTGCTACCACCTTTGTGATCTCTCTTTTCTAGGTTGGGTGACAAGTAAGGTTGTGGGGTAGTGGCATATCCAGGTGGGAGATGGCTACACTTGTATAGGTGTAAAGTTTTACTAGATTATCGAAATTCCACAAGCGCAGCGGTACTATCCCAGGTTCTGGTGTTATTTTCTAAGACGTATTACTTTAGGTAATGTTTCTCCATAGATGACTCCCAAATTCAGTGTTAACCCTGACGTCTTCTGAGCTTCAGCAATAAAAAGCAAAAAAAGGATGCTGTCCTGCCATCACCTCAATGTCCCTGAAGCTAAACTCATTCCTTTCCCCTCCATTCCAGATTCAACTGTCTTAAACAATAAGGAGAATGTAGTATCTTATGTAACAGGAAATATAGGGATGGATCAGCTCTAGGGTTAGTACATTTAGCAGCTCAATAACATTACCAAGGACTCAGATTCTTTCCATCTTTTCACTCTTAACACCCTTAGGCCAGTATCCCTCATAGTCACAAAATGGCTGCCACAATTCCAGCTGACACATGCATATACACAATGTCTAGCAGAAGTGGAGAGACTGTTTCTTCCATGTGTCTCTTTTTATTGGCAAGGAAAACCTGTCTCAGAAGCCCTCAAGCAGACTTTCCACACTCTCCCCAATCTGAGTCAGTCACCAGCAAGGAGTAAGAAACCATCATGAATGACTTAAGTTAATTATGAGTCACCCCCTGTGGCTGGGAACTGGAATCCCCTACCCCAAGCGCATGTAGAGTTAGGTGAATACTTGGGCAAAATTAGGGTTCTCTTAGGAGGAATGAAGGGAGAATAGATGTTGGGAGGACAGACAATGGTGTTTGATACAGATGGTAATAAGGTAAATGCATCAGTCAGGATAAACTAGCATAGGCTGAGGTAACAAGTGCTTCCAAAGTGGTTTACAACAACAAAGTTTTCCTTTTTGAAGTACCATACATGTTCATGGCAGGGCACTTTGGCTGTAGTCTAGGTTGTCTTTATGCCGGGACCCAGGCTGATAGAGCAGCCTGTATCTGGAACAGTGTTTTGTCTCGTGGAAGAGGAAAAGTGATCATGGTGAGTCACACGCTGGCTCTTAGTGCTTCTGCCTGGAACTTATACATGTTAGAGCTGCTCACACATTCTTGGTTAGAACGAGTTCACCTGGCCAAGTCTGATGTCAGTGGGCTAGGGAAATATAACACTTCCCTGGGAAGGGCAGCAAAAATTTGTGAAGAACTGTGACTAACAATATAGTTTGCCACGCTCAAGGATGAGAAATAGCAAATCCTGCTCTGCTAATCGTCTCTCCTCTCCCTAGGGTCCTCAAGGGAACTATGCACCAAAAAAAGAGATTGGAATAGAAACGAAAGGATCATTTTATTCATAGCTGAGCCAGCACCCAATAACCTCTGGAACAGAACTCTGCCAAAAGACTGAGTTGCATCATGTGGCTTAGGTTTAAGGCTGAAGTGAAGCTTCCTCATTCCCTGCTCTCCCTCCACCTTCCAAATTTGGGGACCAGCATGCATAGGCGAGCCTGCAGAAAGAGAGGAGGAGATGATCAGATCTGCAAAGCAGACCAGCTTTACTCATCTAAAGCTGGGCTGGCCTACTCGGCAGGAATTCGGGAGCAGAAGCAGCACACATAGCTGTGGGATCTTTCAACACAGAAGGACCCCAACACTGGTAAACTGTGAACTAATTAATGTCCTGGGTTCTGCCCAATCAGAGTATAATTCCTTCTTCCTTCTGTAGGAAACCAGTAAGAGGACAGGGCAGAGGAGGATGGAATAGGAAGGAATGCTCCCCCATTCTCACTTTGTTCTCTCTTAATCTGTGAGGAAAACGAGTAGAAAGTCCCCTGCCAAACAGATGTGTGTGCATTGTCTATTTGCCTCCTCATCTAGAGTGTAAACCTTTCAAAAACAGGGGTCAAGGCATGGTGCATCACTGTTGCTACTTGTGGTAGGTACTCAGGTATCTGTTGATAACAGTCATTTAAGAGACCTTGTTGCAATTTCAGTTGACAAAACTGTGGTCAATTACAGATATACTAGGTTTCAGTAACCTGGGATTCTGGGGCCATGTTGCTTGTCTGACTTCCAACCTTCACTATATATTGGCACAAAAGAATATGGAGATGTGGGTCTTGACAGTGGAAAGAAAGTAAAAGTCTTTATAAATATTTCATATGACCCCAAGCAGATGGATGTACCAAGTACATAGAAGATCAAAATTCAATTGACCTCAATAAATTAGAGAAATGATCATCAATAGCAGGTTAAAATGCACTAGAATAAATGGAAAGTAGTACATTTAAGGAGCAAATGAAGCATCATACACATAGATTCAAGAAAGAAAAATTGTCCGTGCAGAAATTTGACCAAGAAAGACCCGATAGATGTGGCAAATGAATGAGAGAATGGGTAGAAAAATTGAGGGATATATTAACAGAAGCCTATAAAGCCAAATTCATCTTCATATCCCCGGGACCTAGCAAGTGCCTGGCACACAGTGGATATTGATAAATATTTATTGAAAATAAATGTGTGACTTTGGCTTTGGTCAGATCATCCATGGTCTTCCCTTCTTCTGAAAAGCCTTTGCATGACGAAGTCCTATCCATTCTTCAAGACCCAGCTCAGATACAGCTCCATCATGTTGCCTTTCCTAAAATTTCCCTCCTCCTCAGCTAGAAGGAAGCTCTCCCTTGCTGAATTCTCATAAGCAATTAATAACACAATTATTATTTCAGTAATAGGCACTCAGTAATTATTGGGTGAATGGTAACTCTCAAATTATGACAATCCAGTACTCATCATTTCAAAATTATAGAATTAATAACCAAAGGAAGGTGTCTGATGTTCTAGAATTGTTAATCGCTGGCACTGACTCTCACTTTCCTTGGTCTGGTTTCTTCTATCTACAGATGCTGTATGTGACTCAGATGTCAGCTTTTCCCTCATCCTCTTGTTCAAGCTCACATGCCTTATACCCTCTCAACCAGGGTCTTAGTGAACAAGGCAGAATTTGCTGAAGGGGAGACAAGATTCACATCATGTAGGCTGCATCAATTCACTTGAAAATCCCCCTACAACACACCTCTTTTTCCAGAGTGCTCTCTCTCTGCTTCTGCCACTGGGGACATTTTTCAACCCCCTACCCCACCCCACCCCCCCAGCCTCCAGCCTTGCTGCTCTTAACTCCGACTTTCAGAGCCCCTTGCAGATTCCTCAACCCTTTTATTACTAGAGGAATGCATTTTATCCCAGTTTCTACTTCCAAACTTACACCGCTGATAAATTACTGTGTTTAGTAAAACTGAAGGTCTTCCAACTAGAGGACCCATCCTCTTCAGGAAATAGAGGCGGGTTAGAAGTAATTTTTCCCTTTTTCAAACATGATTAACACAGAATAAATGGGGTTAGTCAATAGGTCGTCATTCTTCATTGGAAGCTTGTTGGAGTCATCTTTTAAAGATGACAGTGGGTGTAGCTTTGCAGGGCGGGGTGCCAGGAAGACATTCAGGTGGTTGTTAGCTGCTGTCCTGCTCTGGGTGAACTAGGCTCCCAGAACCAGGTAGAAGTTTATCGTTTTCAGGGGGCTTTCCCTATCTCTCTTGAGACAAGGCTGTATTTTGCTTATCTTGCTTTCTGTCAGCCCTGGCCTCCCTCAGCTATAATCATTAAAGATGGACGTTTATTGTCTCAGACTTTTCTCACTGCTTAGCCATTTCTGACCAAGTCAGGAATTATGTAAGATGCCTCAACACTATCCTTTTTCTTCCATGTAGGGTACAGGCTATTCCTCCGTAACAAAGAGACCCCAAAAGACTGTGACTCCACAAGAAATATATTTCTGGCTCACTTAGTCCAGTGATGGATGTCCAGGATGAAGAGGTGGCTCTGCTCCACTTGTTCATCTTGGGACCCAGGTTTCTGTCCTCTTAGTGTGCCACCTACGCCAGGACGTGGTCATTGTTGGCATGTTTTAGGCTGGCTCTCTTGGCCATGTCTGTGTTCCAGACCTCTGTAAGGAGAAATAGAGGAAAGAAAAAGTGGAGGGCAAGTGGATTCCTTGTAATGATGTAACACGAAATTTATACTCCTAGCTTCCAATCATATCCCAAGAACTTGGTCCTGTGGTCACATCTTCTTCAAAGAAGGCTGGAGAATCTCCTTAATTGGACAAGTATATGCCCAGCTGACACTTAGTGGGGGAGAAAAGGGCTTCTATTATTAAACGGAGGAGGAAAAATGGACATGAGGATGATAAACAGTTTCCACCATACCTCCCTGTGGCCTATGGGAGACCCCTTTCGACTCCAGTAATATCCAATTATGTGAAATGCCCTGAATATGCTTTTCTGCGGCTTGTTTCTGTGACTATTCATGGTAAATCTTTCTTACCTTTCTTTGCCTGCTAAAATCAGCTCAAGTAACATCTTCTCCAAGGAGTCTTCCTAAACTAGTTTGGGGTAAGTGACCGCTCTTTGTCTTCTCATAGCACATGATGCCTCCCTCTCCTTTGGCACTTCCCCCACTATCTGCCCAGATTTGAAATCATCTCTTTATGGCTCTGTCTCCGTCTAGACTGTGAGCAACTTGAGAGCAAATATGCTATGTCTTAGCCATATTTGTATCCTTAACCTAAACTGAGCTGAATTCCTTTTGCCTGCCAACAGGTAAAATAAACAGCACCATCGCCTGAACCCCTGCCTGCTCACTGAGTTGTAGCTTTCATCTATAATGGCCGGGCCATGTAAGTGGGCATTCTTCCACCCATTTGGATGGAAGCACTAGCCTGAAACCCCTGCTGGTCTAGGATCCTGATTCTCTTGCTAGCTCTTGTGAATGCCTGCCTCTGAGGAACTCAAGACCTGTTTTCCTTACCACCTAGGGGTTGGCCGCTAACCCAGAACCAGGGCTTGACTGCCATTTTACTGCCATTGATCTTGGATCCTCTTGCTGTGTGGCTTCACCTGCTATGCATCTCCCTGACACAGACCAGCTGGAGCTCAATCCTGGCTTCCTCCTGGTCTTGGGACATTGACAAATGACCCTTTAGCTAGGTCAGTTTCCCCCAATTCTGCTCCTAGTGGGCGCTGGCCATTTTCCTCTCATTGGTTCATCCTTCTAAGGCTCTATCATGCCTGACCTGTGAATGACTTTGCCCATTTTTGGGTTAATAAATATTGTTGCTACCTTCTGTTTGAAGCTAACTGGTCCAAGATGTGAATGGATTCTTAGCTTTGTGGCCTATCACTAGCACAAAATGCAATTTGTATAGACTTTTTGGGGATGAATATATATTTATCTTAAAAATATGAATATTTGAACATATAACATCAGCCTATTGAGAGGGTTATTCATATTGCAAATATTCTTTATTTTACAAAAGGATTTACCAGTAAGATCTTAAGAATTAATTTCTCTTTTGGTACAAGTTTAGTAACTGTTCAGTGAGGCAGAATTCCCAGGTCAGATGGATGATTGGTCAGCCACATAGTCTACCCTTTTGTATAGCCAAGCCATGGGTCAGAAGCAAGGGGATTTCACCGTAAAAAGTCAAGAATTTAGTCAGATCATCCAAAGGCCTTGGCATTATCCAAGGAACTGAGAGGCAGGTAACTCAACTGTTCTTGATGAGCTGAAGATGTTTCAGCAACTTGTATTGAATTGAAGGTTCCCAACTCCACAAGGTCACTTGAGAGTTGGAGATAGGTCCCGCCTGGGTGGCTCAGGTGCTCAGAACCCTTCCAGGTTTCCCTGCCTGTGTTAGTTAGAAGTCATTTATTTACAAATGATGGAAATCCAGTTTAAACTAGTGTAAGCAAAAAGGGGATGGCTCACAATCTTTGGAAGTCTAGGCGTGGACGTCAGTGGCAACTAGCTCGGGGGACTAAAATACGTTTTCCAAATTGGTCTTTCTCACTTTTTCAATCTCTCTCCCCTCCTTTCTCTCTCCATATCTCTCATTCTCCCTTTCGCTCTGCTTCTTTCTATGTGTTGATCCTGTTCTCTTCTGTGGGAGATACCTTCCTCTACATGGCAGGGAAGATGGCCTCCATTCACATTCTTAATGCTCTTTATCTTGAAGGCCAAGTGCATTTTCTTCTACCTCTAAATGAAGAAGTCCCCAGGAAGAACTTTGATTGGCCTACGTCTGGGCCAATCATTCTGGCCAAGGCTAGGGGGTACCTCAGTTGGCTGGGCCCTATGGCTGGAATTGGAGTGCTGTAATTAGCAGCATCACCACACTTACATAATTTGTGTGGGTCTGGACAGACAAAACAAGAAACATCCCCCACACTCTCCTTTCTAATGCCTGAGAGTCCCCAGTAAATATATCAGTGTTCCCACCAAACAGCCCAGGCTTCACTTCATGCTTTCGCTCATTGCTACTCTTAATATTCCACACTGACCACTGCTTGCCTTCTGTGAGGACCCCTGCTCTGTTGTTCCCTTGGACTGCCACTTAACACTGACACCACTTGGCTGGACCACTGTTGGCCGCTCTGCTGCTCAGGCCGAGGCTGGTGCTGCATTTCTATCCTGGACCTCCTCTCAGTGCTCTATTTGGAGATGTGCCCATGAGCTTCTCAGATGCTCTGACAGGGACTAGTGCATGCAGTTGTGCAATTATGCACAGCTGTGTAGGTTGTTCAGTACACAAGGGCACACATGGGGACTAAAGTCTAGCATGAAATGCAGCTCACTAAGCTTAAGTTGTACACCTGTCCAGATGTGTTCTCCAGAAGAAAGAAGCCCTTCTTCTATTTGTACAAGGGTACCAAGCCATACCCCCAGGAGCTGTGACTGCTCCCAGGAGATGACTTTTTCTAATCGCATGAAGATTCACTAAGGGCAACAGCAGCAGGCTCTTGCTGTATCCTCTGAAAAAGAGAGGAACCTCCCTCTCCTCTGTTGGCCACTGTGTCAGAGCAATGCCACTACTGTAAACAACGCTGGGAGAGCAGCGGGGTCACAGGCCCACCCCCTGACACCATCCAACCATAATGTCCTCATATGCCCTCCCAACATGCCAGAGCAAAAAATAATGAAACACTGTCATGAATGTGACAGAACTGTCCAAAGCACGCAGAAATCAGCTGTGTACTTTGTAAAGCCTGTTGGGTTCTATGTTTCTGAAATTGGCAAATTTTTCATCAGAATAGAAAATAAAAGCTAAGAAACTATGAGAACCATTCATGAAGACATCAACCATTACTGTACCGAAGTAACCATGTTCACATGTAATCACACAGGTGGATTGGAATGACTCTCAGAAGTATTAAAGGCAGGTGTTTTAATGTTACATCATCCTAAAGCTGCCCCTCTCGGTCCTCCCCAGAATGTAGGCAAGACACTCACGTGGAATAGCTGGGTTTGGACAAGTTTAGGTGATAGACACCATGTTGGTCCCAGAACTACCATGCTAACCAACCCTCCCACTCTGGTGCTGGGTGTGGCTTGCTTTCATAAGAATCTGGAGTCCTGCCTGCAATTTGCTTCTATCAGCCCTACCCATGCCTACTTTCCCCCAGCTCCTCTGACATACCTATATATGAATATATCCGTACCTGGACATGGTTTGAGTTCTTTCCCTAAAGGGTCCTCAACAGTCAGGCAAAACAGAGAGTGCAATAGAGAACTGGAACAGGTGTCATCTCGCCTTACTCCACCAAGATCTTAATCCCAGTTTCATCCCAGTTTCATCAGTGGGGGCTTCCTCCAACAGGAGCAGAAGAGAATGTGGCCACTGTTGCCATCTGGTGTGTCCTCTGGAGTGGTGACTCAGGGAGATCAAAGCCAGTCAAATATATGTGTCCATTTCTCAATCTGTGTCTCTCATACTGCTGCCCTCTGCCTTTATTTTTCTGCAGAAGGGCGTGAAATTGAAGAAGTAGGAGTGTTTCATAATCTGCCACTCAGGGATATTCTCTTGTTCTCCTTTTGTGTTATCCTCAATAAAACTAGATTGGACGGGGTTCTAGCCAAGGATAGGATAGGGAGAAGTGGGAGGTGTGGAAGGGAGGTATCCTGAAGTGGTTACTGAACACATCAAGGAAGATGAGAAGAACCTAATCCAGAGGTAGAGGGAACTGTGAATTAGGTAGCCCTAGTCACAGGAGTTTAGATCTATCTGACTGCTCAGATTAAAGGAAATAGAAAATTGTGGGGGCCGGCCCCGTGGCCGAGTGGTTAAGTTTGTGTGCTCTGCTTTGGCGGCCCAGGGTTTCACCAGTTCGGCGGCCCAGGGTTTCACCAGTTCAGATCCTTGGCGTGGACGTGACACGGCTCATCAAGCCATGCTGAGGGGGAATCCCACATGCCACAACTGGAAGGACCCACAACTAGAAAATATACAACTAGGTACTGGGAGGCTTTGGGAGAAAAAGGAAAGAAACAAAAAGAAAGAAAATTGTGAAGAAAAGATCATTTCAACAATGGGAGTGAAACAACTTTGCATAATCAACTTTCAAACAGATCTGCCAAATGAGAAGTCAGTCCTGCACTTACTGAACAAATCCTGGGTAAATAGCAAAAGTTAGATGAGTCACACCCATTACTCGGAAAAATTAATAGTAATTGGCTGTGTCCTTTCTTGCTTGGGAAGCTGACGACATATTATCAGTGTTTCATGGTTATTTTGTCATGTCTTGCTAAAGCCTTCAGATTTTATTTATTCTTTAATCCTGAAGCCAGCTAAAGTCTCCTAGGCATGGTTGTTATTTGACAGCATCAGATAATTTAGTCACGTTCAGTAGAAGAGAGTGTACTGTATAATACAGCAGAGATTAGGTGGAATATATAGGAGGCAGCATGTGTAGTAGAAAAAAACCGCTGAACTAGGAGACCCAAATTCTTGTCCTATCTGGCTAGCACTGCTAACTAGCCAGCAATAGGACATTAGGAAAGTCACTTAAACCTTGCTAGCCTTATCTGTAAAATGAAGGATTTTAACTTAGATAAACTATTCTTTAAATAAAGTAACCTCTAAGGCCTGCTCTAAAACACTGTAATTCCATAGTCTCATTGGAAGTGTCTCTAGGTGTTCAAGAAACTCATAGACAAACACCAGGAGCCAACAGCAAATTAGCTGAACTGAGGCAACTACCAAGAGGAAACATGCCCAAGCTGGTGAAGACCACAGGTACAACTGCAAAGTCTGTACTTATTTTCAGAAAGGCATGTGATGGCTGGGCACAGGGGCAAGGACAGATAGTACCAGGAAAATCATTTGGGCATGGGTTCACTTAATGCTCCTTTTATTCTAAGGGTGAGATTTGACATACATCTAAATGTTCCTCATGACTTGCTTTATTTTTGGTCTGTTATATCTCTAGGGAAATATATCCCTAAAGACCTACTTATGCAGTAAAGTTCTTCATGGTACCTGTAGAGGCTGTGCACAGCATAACCAACTGGTGGTAACACTAGTGTAAAGAATTATGTTGTCGTAGCCATTCTGGATGTACGGAAATGTGGCCCAAAGGTTACTGGCTACTTCCTGGTCTTGCTTGATCTATGGTATTGTTCATGTTCATAAGAGAAGGTGCTCTTTCAGTTGGTTCCCATGTCCCTTTGACACATCCCCATCATTGTCTGACTGTGTTTTGTTTTGTTTTCAGCGCTTCCTTACCTTCTGGCACTACAAGATGCTTCAGGCTTATCTTGTCTGTCTTCTCTCCCAATCCTAGAATCAGCCATTTCTCCAAAGAGCCAGAGTTCATTCCTGATTTGCATATTTGCATCTAAAACAAACTCATTAGTAAGTGATGGGGGAGGTTGGGAGTAGAATGAGTGGGATCCCACTTTTTACTGCTTCAACTATTTTACCTTGCTTAACCCCCCAAAAAGTTTGAAGACTATATTTGTTTCCTCTTGTTGCTATAACATACACTATTTCTTATTGCTGCTGTGACAAATTACCATGAATTTAGTGGCCTAAAACAACACAAATTTATTATCTTCTAGTTCCAGAGGTCAGAAGTCTGAAAATGGGTCTTATGGGGCTAAAAACAAGTGTTAGCTGGGCTGCATTGCTTCCTGAGGGTCTAAGGGAGAATCAGTGCCTTGTCTTTTTCAACTTCTAATGGCTCTCTGCATTCCTCGGTTCATGGGCCCCTTCCAGCAACGGTATCACACCAACCTCTGCTTTCCTAGTCACCTCTTCTCTCTTTCTCTGCAGCCTCCCTCTTCTGTCTTTTAAGGACCCTTGTCATTACATTGGGCCCACCAAGATCATGCAGAATAATATCTCTATTTTAAAACTTTTAACTTAATCACATCTGCTAAGCTTCTTTTGCCATGTAAAGTAACACATTCATAGGTTCTGGGGATTAGAACATGGACGTCTTGGGAGAGGGGTGTCATTATTCCATCCACCAAAAACGTAAAACCAAAAGGTGACATTTGCTGATAAATCATAGTTTTATCTGTTTCCTTCATACCACACAGGACATTCTAAATCTAAACATTTTTGACAGCCTCAGACAATCATTTCTCCTTTACCCAAAAGGCTATAATGATAAGAATATTATTTAATAAACCCTTCTAAACAACTTAAGTCACTTTTCGGTATTTTGCCCAAAAAAGTAGCACAATTCTCTTCATTTAGTCTAGTAATATTTTCCCCAGTAGCAGTTTAGAACACGCAGGTTAAATAGTCCATGTGGTTGATTTCCTAATCTAAACAAATGATCTCTATACCTGAAAGGCCAATCCTTTATCCAGGCTCAGAGGGTCATGATGGCTCTCAAAGCCTATTCATTATCTTGTACGTCCTTTCCATCCTGATAGGATAAGCCCCATCAGTCAATCATGTAGATCAGAGAATCCCCAACTATGTGTCCCAGAAGGCAGATCCAATGTATTAGATTTAAATAATTGTGGGTTTTTTCCAAATGGAAATAATAGAATGTTATACATTTCAAAAGTGTTTCCCATTAATTTTCCTTAACACTGGTACCTCCTACTGCTTGTCTGTCAGCACAGGCTAGCTAAGAATGAAAGAAACAAGAAGCCGGTTAATATTAATAGAAAAAGTCAGAGATAAGAAATAACAAATCATGCCTAGGTTGATAGCTCATGGTGCTTTTCTGTAATTTATGTTGCATACATCTAATAGAGAAATATTTTGCTAGCCAAAATACTTTATCACATAAAGAACTCTGCATGTAAAGGATAAATATCTTGCCTAAATATGGTGGAGCCAACTATTATTTCTTCATTGTATTGGAGCTTCTTTACAAAAGGATACCATCTCTGTCTTGTAAAAGACAAAAAAAATCCTAGAGCAGTGAGAATATGGGCTTTGGAACTAGGTAAATCTAAGCATGAATTTCTTGCTAGCTGCATGACTTTGAATACATCACTGAACCGAATAATTTGAATTAGTTAGGTGTTACGTTTGGTTGTTTGTAGAAGATCATAATTAAAGCAATTTAAATAGGCAAGAGGCTTATTTCTCCCTCAAAATAAAGAAGTGCATAGTTAGGCAGATCAAGTTTGGTGTGGTGGCTCCTCAATCACTAAGCTTCTAGGCTCTCTTTTGCTGCATGCCCACCATCTTTAGCACCTGGCTTCCATGTTCTAGGTCACTCATGGTCTGATACGGTTTTCTAAGCTCTAGCTACCTCACCTGCTTTCCAAACAGCAGGAAGGATGAAGGGATGAAGGGCAACTAAATCTTTTTAGGAAACCCCACCCAGTGACTTCCACTTATATCTAACTGGCTGCTCCTATCTGCAAGGGAAATAGGAAATGTAATTTTTCATCTGGACACACTGCTCAGAATTTGGAAGGAGAGCATCACGTTGGATTCTGTGGCAGAGATACCTAAATGATCCCAATATCCATGATTTCCTTCTTCTTTGAGTAATAGAATCACTGCCATACCCATCCACCACTACTAGTTTTAACTTGGCATGTGGCCATTAAGTAGAGGCTACATTTTTCAGCCTCCCTTGTAGTTACTTGTGACACATGTGACTTGTGACACAGCCATGTGACTGTGATATTTCTGGATGATGGGGTGTGAGCTGAAGTGCTTGTGTGCAATTTCCTTAAAAAGGGAACTGCCTGTCCTTTCTCCTCTCTCTTCCTCCTTCCCATAGGCTGGGACATGCATGTGTATTGGTGAGCCAGCTTTTGCCATATGGATGGGGACAACACCCTAGATGATGGTGGAATAATGAGACAGAAGGTACCGGGTCTCTGGATAACTGTGAGAGGCAGAGCCACCTGCCACCCTAGACTTTCTGCCTGCCTCTATTGTGTTTTGTGAGAGAGAAATAAACCTCCACCTTCTTCAAGCCACTGTATTTTGGTATCCCTTTGTTACAGCAAGTTAGCCTGTATCCTAACTAATACAGCCGCCTTTCTTTGCCTGAATTTATTTTTCTGTAAAATGGCAATAGAATTATGTACTCCACTGGGTTATGGCAAAAATTAGAAATAATATAAGTAAGGCACCTGGGCCATAGCTATTGTAGATAACAGCTGTTAGCATAGGTTTCATGAGAGGATTCTGGGAAATAGGCAGCACGCTTCCCCACCAGTATATGGAAGACTATTATGTGTGATTGAATCCTTGAATTGGCAAAAAAAAAAAAAAAAAAAAAAGCATATAAACAATAAATGTCTTGGATTTCAATGTAAATAAACTAGTTAAAATATTTGGAAAATACCTCCTGATGCATTTTCTTAATAATTTGGATTATTTCCCTGCCTGAAGTTGGCATGAGGGAAGCACAAAATACAGGGATGCTGAATTTCAATACTAGACATCAGAATGACACTGGAAAAGATAAGGTGGACCAGCCTTCCTTCAGCGGCTTCAACCATGGGATGGGGAAGGCCACAGGATAGTGTAGGTTTCCTCCCCTGCTGTTTGAGGAAGAAAAACAGCCAGCAGGGAGTGAGCATGAATTCTGAATTGACTAAATTAAATTTAAACTCATAGATACATAAACACAATTAAAATTTTCCCCCTGCTATTAGCAGGAGTAGAGGCTTGAGTCTAAGATAGGATTAGTTGTAAAAAATAATGAACATTATATTCTTTGGCACATCTGAGTCATAGGATGCAAATTTCTATCCTGCTACATGACACTTATGAGGTCAATACAAAAAGCGCACAAGTATAGGTCAATTTCATTTATGAACTTAGAT